ATTGGTTGTTCACCAATTCGTCCGTTCTCTATCAGCTGTGGTAAATTGCAAATGGCTGAACCGCTTTGTAATTGTGTTGAGTGAAATATTTTAACCAAGATTTTCTTTGTTTTAGGTAAGTAAAATTGTTAATTCCTGCTTTAACATTATATTAGGTGGATATAGGCATGTTTAAGTTAAATGTAGCATCACTACCGCGTTTTTATTAAAAAATACGTAGAATTAACCGTTTCGGTTTTTTTCTCCATGTTTTCCTTAAACAAATGTTATGAAAGTTGTAATAAAACAAATAGAATATTATTTTTCTATAATAAAACTTATAAAGTGTTTAATTAAACCAAGTTTTCATGGAATTGGAATGGTTTTAACGTTTTTTGAATAAAAATAACAACGTAAATAAACCTTAATACATGTAAGTTTTTAACGATGTTTTCTCGGAATTTTCAATGCTCAATCAATTTAAGTAGTACATTTTATTTAAAAATTAACACGATATACCTAGTTGCTTTTATAATATTCTTATTATTACAAAAGGTATACCTATCTTTGTTTTGGTAAATTTGTAGGTTATCTACTTATAATATTTTGTAAATCATTTTAATTATCAAATTTTTATTTTCCAATTTTAATTACAATACCTACCTACTAATTTTTAAATGCTATTTTAATAGACTTGTATTAACACAACTTTTGTCTAATTTAACCAACGTTGTAGCTCTTCAAATAAAAAAAATACCCATGCATAGAAGAATACTTGGTACCTTGCATATACAGCTAAGCGAAAACTGGACCTGGGTCCAGCCCCCTCATCCGTGGATCGGAAGAAAAGGGCCCAACAATTTGGCACTTTATCTATGGTCAACACATTCGACCGCTCTCTCAATGTGCGACTTCTTTCTCTGGGGCTTTATAAAAGATAAAGTTTATGAGCCCCAAGATTTGTGAAAACTAAAGACACGAATTGGAACTGCCATTGATGAAATTACCACTCAGACCCTTCGGTTGGGATAGAAAATGTTCAAGTATTTACTAGATGTTTGCAGCTGGAGGAGGTCATATAAAACACTTGATTATATTACAAATGTTTTGTGCTTTCCATGTTTTTTTTACATAAACATAGCATTTTGAATTTTTGATCTACAGGGTGATAATCTTTTACAGTATGTTCATAATTATTTTATTTGTTCTATATGAAAGTCTGACATTTTTAATGTACATAAATAACTAGACAATTCATAAGCAAACCTTTTAAAGAAATATTTTTAAAGTTTTAAATTCAATCATTTTTTGTTACAATATAATTGATTTTAATTTAATGCATTAATTTTAGGTTTTGCCATAATGGAACAATTAGAGAAGATTTATCCTACATGAAGAAAAATAATGAAAGACAGCTTTACTCGTCAATCCCAAGCAGAAATATTTGACTTCCAAAATTTTTTAATAATAGGTACCTAGATATTTTTTTCATTTAGAATACATTTTTAGTTACAATTAGGGGTGTGTGAATATTTTTACCAAATTTAATTAACTAGTAATATTTAATTCAAACTTAAAATTAAATATTCAAACTACATGAATAGTTTGAATTATTTGAATAGTTAAATAATTACAATCATAATCTATTCAAATAAGATAATTAAGGGTTAATGACAAGTAAATAACATTCAAACTTTTTATTTAAAAATAAATTTTAAATTACAATTCCATGTTCCATTTCTTCAATTACTATTGGAAAATTTTAATTTTCTTATTAAACCATTTAAAAATTTGAAACATTCAAACTATTCAAATAATTCTTGAATTCAATATTCACACATCCATAGTTACAATACAAATATAAAAAAAGTAAAAGCCTTGTCCATTAAAGAAAGTACACTTTTATTTTTTACTCCAAATATAATTAAATTGTTTATTGTTAAAAACAAGCAATCTTACATTTTTATATTACATACACTTCTGCTTTAGATTATTATTTAGCAAGATATTAAAAAAGAATATTTTCATGTTAAAACAGCACAAGGTCACCATTATTAGTTTTTATAAGATTTTTAAATTAAAAAATAAGCATAATCATATTTAGTTAGTCACTTCCCTTGTTTTTACAATAAACCATTCAATTATTTGCTTCAGCAGAAATATTGCTAAATTATTTTTATTTAATTTTAAAAATTATTAGGTAATATCAATCTTTTTACAATTTAAATTGATTTTAAAATTGATATTGATTTCAGGTTTGGGTTTGTGTTAATGGAAGAAGTAGACAGGACTTGAATTTATCAAACTTCTTTGCAAAAGTACATAGAAAATATTAATTGCAGTTGAATATTCTTCATTGAATCAAGAAAAAGACGCTGGTTCAATCCATGAATCATGAACAAGAAAGAAGACAATCAATTAATACTGTCTGTCCACTCTAAGTTGACTGAACTAAGGAATTTTGTTGTTTAGATATTAAAGAATTGTCGTACTGTGTGCTTTTAAAACAGATTTTATATTATAAATAATACTAGTATATAATATGTACTAGTATTATTTATAATATAAAATCTGTTTTAAAAGCACACAGTACGACAATTCTTTAATATCTAAACTACAAAATTCCTTAGTTCCGCCAACTTAGAGAGGACAGACAGTACTTAATATTGACCAGACAGTTATATCACACAAAGTATTTTATACAAAAGATAGGTACATAAAGATTTTAATTTTGCCAAATACATAATTACAATATTTTTAACATTTAGATTGAAGTGGTTCTATTGATTATAATCAATAATTATTAATTTAAATTAAACCAATTTTACTAAAAATTAAATATTGCAAAGAATGTAATTTAATTTTTGGATAAGTGGGAATTCCTTTTTGCCAAAAATTCTATATTTTACAAAACTATAGTATTGTGCTTCTTATTTAAAACACAAATTATAATCATACTTTTGCTAACAATTCCTAAAAATTATAAGAGTACACACAAAAAGCGTAGTGTTATTTTAAATATACCGTTAGTGCCTATATGCGCGATTAAATTAATTGTTTGTAATAAATATTTCGTATATTCCCCATTCAAAAGAATGATCGTCTTAAAACGAGACTGAAATATTTGAAAGCAAGTAAAGCTAGTTATTTTGTTGAAGAATTTCATATATTTGATGTTATCTATTTAAAATGAATGTTTTCATATGTTTAACATAATTATTGGCAATAGTCTTAGCAAAAGTATAATAGCTTTAAGATAAACTTGTAAAGTAAAATATAAAATCTTTTAAATTAGTCAAAGATTCAGTTAAAATAAATTACTAAATTAATATCAATAGTTTTTCAATAAGTATTGAACTATTGTTTATCAAGAATTTATCACATTTTGATGGTAGGTAATAGGTTAGAGTTAATTTGTTTAATAAACCTTTGCATTTTTATTAAGAAATCTTAAAATACCTATAAAGATTGTTATTATGTGGCACAAAATTAAAATTTTTGAAAATGATCAATTAAATGTCATACTTTTTGATAAATTATACCTAAATAATTATAAATTATTATACATGTTTGATAAACCTTGTTTTAAATTTCACTAAAAGTTATAGAATAATTAACTTTGAATTTCTCCTCATTTAAATATTATTTGTTGGTTATAATTTAATTTAAAATTGAATTAAGTGTATATTTTGTTTAATATATTTATAAAAAAAACAAAAATGTGTGTTTTTCCACTTAATTAGTGGAAAATAACCGAAAATTGTTGAAATTTTATATTTTTTGATTTTTAAAGAACAATATTAACTATATGGTTCTTTAAAAACCCAAAAAAATATAAAATTTTAACAATTTTCGGTTATAATTCCATATTTTAAATAAAAATTCAAAATTCGCGCCGCAGAAATCGTGTGGATATTTCCACCAATGGCTTACTGGCACCTCGGATTTCCAAGCCTGCTAGATTTCAAAATCAAACAATGCCTGTTGCCACTTTTCACTACAGCGCTTTTAATTCTCTTATGTTCTGTGAACAATCACGTCGCGCTGGTCACGCTCATGAGCTCTACTCACAAGGCAAGTTTTAATACAGATTCAGTACAGGAAACTGAACAGAATCTGTACTATTATATATTTATGCGTTACCCCTTCTATAATTCAATGTAAATAAAGAAATGGGCCACAAATGGGGAAAAATAGTAGGTATCCATAAGTAAAGACTCAATATGCCCTTTGTATACATATAAATAGACTTAATAAAGTAGGCATATATTTTCCACAACAGTGCATATTTTTATCCAAGAACTTTACAGGACCTATACTAATATGTTATCGATAATATAACGATAATTTATATGTGCAATAAATGTAAATCATATACCTATTATATACAGGAAAAATATATACAGACAATGCTTTATAATCGCTGTACAGATTAAATAAAGCATATATCTGTAAAGGAAATATTTAGTTGTACTATAAATAAGATATATAGTTAATATCTTTATCGAGATACCTTTATAGCATATAAACTAATCTATATAGTTTACGAAAACCTTTATCCCTTGGTTATACGGGTAGTGGCTTTTGGGCATTTTAGTCACGGGCTGAAGTTAGCTTTACTTTAAATTAGAGAAAAGGTTAATTCCGTTGACATTTGACAGATGTCAAATGTTTAACAAATAAAATTGGATTTAAATTCTTCTTTGTGGTCGTCGTAGATAAAGTATAGTATGCAACTCGTTTTATAAACTTATCTAGACACTCGTTTTTATTAAACACTCGCTTGCAAGCTTCGCTCGTGCTTAATAAAACTCGTAACTAAAATGGCGTTTATAAAACTTGATACATACTTAATATACTATTAAATCCCTCACTTAAGAACTGACTCTGCGCATAATAATAATATAAGGCAAAATGTGGAATGAGCTATTGTGGCACCATCTATGACAAACATAGAAAACCAACATGTTTAGAATAAAGTTTTCTTAGTTTAACTTATAAGTTACTTTTCACCACTTTATTGAAAAGTTTTCAGCAGTGAAAGTTAACCTAAAAACTGTTGAGGTTATGTAAATGTGTCAACTTTATTATTAAAAAAAGATGTGGAAATCCATAATAAAACCGTTAAATATAGTTAATAAAGCTTTTCTTTCTCCTACAGAGAACGTTGTGCATCAACAGCTAAGAGTAAGACAGTTATTTGTTATAAAACATGTTTTAAAAGATTTTCATTTAAGACAACTTATGTTTTAAAAAGAAAAACTCCCCCTCGCTTACACAAGAAAAATAGTGACCCAAAACCCCTAAGAAGCAGACACTATGTGTATGAATTAGTAAAAAATGAGGAATTGGAGAAAAAAGCGAATATCAATGTTATTTTGACGACGTATGTGGAAGGTTTGGGAAATAAGGGAGAAAAAGTGTCCGTAAAACCGAAATATGCCTATCAGGATCTTTTATTGCCAGGGCTGGCGGTTTATGAGAGTCCTGAAAATGTGGAAAAGTATAAAGACTTCATGACAAATCCTATGAGCGATGTTGAAGCACATAGTTCACCAACAGCCATGCTAGTAATAAAACTCATATAAAAAATGTACCTATTTAAATAAATTTTATATTTTAGACTGTTAGATCTCTGTCTGGAATAATGCTATCTGTAGTAATGAACAAAGATACACATTGGTCTTTAAAACCATGGCATATTAAGGTTTCCTTTAGAAAATGTGGTTATATTGTGCCAGAACATGCCATAATAATGCCAGAACAAGAAATCAAAGGACCCAATATGGATTTGGAAAATAGGGAATTTTTTGTTACAGTAAAAGTATGTTTTTTTATATTTATATTATATTTTTTGATTTTCCTTTTTTTTTAGATAAATAATAAAGAAACAGTACCAGTAAGGTGCAGAATTCACCATTGGAGCACCGAAGTTAAAGATAGAATACCCTATGCATCAGAATTTTGGAAAGAAAAAGTTGAACCTATTTTTGATGAGCATTCATCAGTTTTAAATAGTATACCTCATAAAGCTGAATTAAAGAAATAAATGATAAGTAAGTTGTAATGTTTATTTTCATTCCCCCCAAAAACACTACAATTAAAAAAATGCAATTTATTCCTTAAGTTTCATACAAAAAAATAATTATTTCTTAGTTTTATCGGAAACAGTATATTTGTCATAAGTTTTTGTGGGATCAAATGGCTCCCATCGACTTGCAGGGAAAATATGTTTGTTTCTCTCATACCAACTTCTTAATAAAACTTTACCAGCATGGGATTCTTCTTTTTCTATGGACGCGTCACTAGTTAATCTTACATCATCATGAACGTCAAATTGAAAGAGGGGGCCACTCTTACCTCTTGCCTAAAAATTTAAAATTCCAATAAAAGTGTACCACAAGATGTCGCTATAAAAAAATGTCTTACCTTTGTAACAATAAAATCATAGAATGTATAATGATGAGGTAGTATGAGATCCTCCTTAACATACATAAGTTGATCAGCCATTACAGTTTTAAGTTCAGAAAACTCCTTTCTCAGCAATTCTAAAACCTTCTGCAAAAACTGATAAATAGAGTTTCCTTTTTTCACCCTAACTGTTCTTCTGTGTCCTGAACCATCCCAATAACTGAAAGTTATATCAATTTCTTCCTCTTTTAGTTTTTGCTGTTGTTCTGCCCACTGTTGCCTTAATTCTTCTCTTAATCTATGTTCTTCTTCTTCACGTTCGCGATCAGGAAGAAAACTTGTATCGACGTTTGGATCTTTCTTGATTTTTTTAGGTATTTGTGGTTCTTCATCGTTTTCTCTTTTTAACGTTTTTGTTTTTAAGTCTTCTTCATTATCTGAGCCATCATTATCCTCATCATCTTCATCCAAATTGAAAGATAATGCTTGGATCTGTAATTAAACTATAACTTTTTCCTAAACTGATACCTTTTTAGATACATATGTCTATAGATACAACTGTTAAGCATGTTGTTAGGAATAAAAAAAAATTAAGAGTATGTTATCAACATACCTGTTTTTTCTGTTTATTTTTCATAGCCTGTTTTGCCTCCATTTGTCTTAGTTTTTCCCGTTCTTTTTCTGCTAGTTTTTGTGCTAACCTTTTCTCCCTCTCCTTAACAATATTCTCTTGTTTTGCCTTCATTTCATCCAAAGTAACTAAACCTATCGTAGAGCTCTAAAAACACATATTAAATTTTTTAAACAATAATTACTCTTACAAAGACATACTTTAAGCTGTTGTTCCACAGCATCATAATGAGTGGCAAATTTATTCTCAATATTATTCAATTTAAGATCCTCTTCAATACGTTTTTTTCTTATTTCCATATCTTGCAATTCTTGCTCCCTTTTCTTCATTAACTGCATGGCTCTTCCAGCCTCACTGGCAGCTCCTTTATAATGTGCCATGTTTTAACAATTTAAAATTATCGCAAACTTCACAAAATAACGTTGTAATAATGTTTATGAATGTCAGCCTGACATTGTCAGGTTTTAACAGTTTTTGTTGAACGTAATTAATGAGGTTAGTTTGTTGCCAACTATATAACAAACATAAAAATATTGCGGATGTGGCGCCATCTTTCGATGGGAAATTTACAGGTACCGATATAATTTTATGTCAATGATATTTTAAATCATAGTTTAACTTGTAGATGGGGAGAAATGTGCTAAATTACATATACTTACCACAAGTAAGTAAGTAAGTAAGTATATACTATATGCTAAATTACACATACTAGTATGTGCTAAATTATAGTTTTTTTTTAAATTTGGTTCGGGCAGCAGAGACATATCAAGAAATTTTTTTTAAGGGAAATTGCTTGTATACCTACCAGATATGTTTTATACTTAATGCATAAATAGCGATGGGATAGACGAGGGGTAAACCACTTTAAATTCTTAGAAACCAACGTTCAATGTTAGTGGACGTTGTGTTGTGATTTTTTTCCTTATCAGTCGTTATCAATAAGGAAAACTTGCTTAATCAGTGCTTAATCAGAGCTTAGCGACGCGTTGCGCATGACTACCCTTGTTATTGTTATTCTATCCGTTAATTCGTGAGCGATTTTTAATTTAATTTAATTTACGGTAAATCATTTACCCATCGGGGATAGATATGGGAAATTTACAATTTACAATTTATCCGTAATTCGTGAGCGATTTTTAATTTTTAAAAATCAGTGATTTACGGTAAATCATTTACCCATCGGGGATAGATATGGAAAATTTACAGGAACGATATAATTTTATGTCAATGATATTTTAAATCATAGTTTAACTTGTAAATGGGGAGAAATGTGCTAAATTACACATACTAGTATGTGCTAAATTATAGTTTTTTTAAATTTGGTTCGGGCAGCAGTACATTTCAAGGAAATTTTTAAGGGAAATTGCTTTTATATACTTATATGCTTATTGTTTATTTTAATACAAAACGCACTATTTACAATATATTGTAACAAAGGAACGTGAAATAAAAAACGTAAAAAATAGGATTTATAATATGATAATTGGTTTCTATGGTAAAGCTTTTTGCTTTTGACAGCTGCAGTGACATTTCTATATGCAATGTTATTAAAAATCTTAAAATGAGTTGATAAAACGAATTATTATGTTCTGTGAAACGAATGAAGTCCACTACAAAGAAAAAAATATTAAAAAAAGGCATGGGAACCAAAATTAAAGAAACATTTGAAGAGTGATTTTTCAAAAGGTCGTATTTCCATTTGCAACAATTTTTCAAAAAAATGACTATAACCTGTATAGGTTAGGGCAATATAAATTATTTAAAAAAAAATCTGATGAATATTTATAAATATTATTATAATAATACTTCAGACCTTCATATTTCGCTGTTAATATATGCCTTTTAACCATACCTTTGGGATTTTGTCAAAAAATTACATTCAAGTAAAAATGGAAATAAGCCCTTTTGAAAAATCACTCCTCATTTGTGGGTATGGTAAATTTATGGGTTATGGTAATTTAATGTTTAGGCACGGTTGGGTTGTGTTGTTGAGTTTGGGTTGGTTTGGCTGCAGTAAAAGAGTCTCGATTTTATTATTAGTAAATTTTATTATATTTGCATAATCAAATCAAATGACACGACACCTAAAAAGTAAAATTAAATAAAATAATGCGTGAGAATAAAATTAAAATTATTTTGACTTTAGGGTGAGAATAAAAATTAAATTGCGTTCCGGCTAGCGTGAGACTAGACACAGCGAAAAAATAAACCTTATTCTATCAGGGCTGTCATCAAACTGTTAAATGTCAATTTTAAGGTTAATTTACCATAGCCACAAATTAACCTTAAAATTGACATTTGACAGTTTGATGACAGCCCTGATAGAATAAGGTTTATTTTTAACACAAGGGGAGTAAAATGGTTGTTCTTAGCACTTTAAGGCTTACAAGTGCCTCTGTAAGAAACACAACGTTTAAAACGATTATTAATACCTATGTATAAACAAAGCACAAACCGAAAGCACAAGAATTGTAAACAACAAAAATGGCCGCTGTTAAACTCTGTTAAGTGTTGCAGTAATTTTTAGTATTTTAAGTAGAATTCTATAGAACAGATCCTGTTATGTAGATTGTGAGTTTAGATTTATTTTCTACAAAATACGAGTAAAATTCAGGCTTACAAGAGCCTCTGTAAGAAACACAACGGTTAAAACGATTTTTAATCTGTATAAACAGCACAAACTCAAAGCACAACAATTGTAAACAACATAAAAGTGGCCACCGTTAAAGTCTGTGCCTAACTTGCCCAATTTCGCGCGCGCAAAATTGTGCTCAGGCACTGACGAAGCCCGGCTAGCTAGACTACTTGTAAACGTAATCAAATTAAATAAATGCTAAGCGAAGTGTGCGACTTTTGGGTATGGAGCACACCCAAGCAACACACTCATTTGCATAATCGTTTAATAAACGTATAATAAACCATTTAATCGTATATTTTTGGTTTTGGTATAATTATTTAACATATATTAAGCGTTTTTTATAAACGTACATATTTCAGTCGTATATTCTACGTACTTGATATACTATTTTAAAATCATAAAATTATCAATTTAATATATAAATTTATATTAATCACCCAATCTATATATATATTATAAAAACAACTATAAAGCATGTTTATGAAATTGGAATTATTTACCCTTATCAAATTTGTTTACATTCAAGTGTTTTGTAAACGTTTTTTTTATATATATATTTTTATGTAAGCTCAACGTCTAAAAATACGAGAAATCTACGTCTATAAATTTTGTTGTTGTTGTAAGCCAAGTAATATTTAAATGTATTTATCACCGCTAACAAATTTGTTAGCGATAGAAACAATGTTTATGTCATATATTAGCTGGATATTTGATTTTGTACCTAAATAAAAATAAAGTTGTCTATCGTTTTCCTAAAAATAAACGTTACTTATAGGTACCAATAATTTTCTACGTGGTTCAGTAACTGAACTTCAGTTTTCATAATACTTGTATACATATGTTCATGGTTCGCACTGTTTCGGTATTACTCGTAACTAAGACGATTGTTTAAACCAATAGGCGCGTGTCACGTGATCATTCCTTCTAGACGCTTCGTTTTGCCGTTACCGGTCACATGTGTCCTGTGTTGATAATGGCTGCCGTATAAGTTATGTTTACTGTTTACTGTGAGTGGATAGCGATTAATTTATTGTATTGTTTGGTGGGAATACAGCTAATAAAGTAAGTATATACCTACTTTAATTGAAATTTCAGATTACTTAATTTGCACCAAATAACTAATAGGTAATTGGTGTTTTTATTTGACGAAGCCGGCAAAAATCCGTAACCTTTGCAGAAGTTTTAACCATGCGACATATTCGTTTTGCATTAAATTAGATGGTTTATTTTTGGATTAGGTTAACATCACTTTAGAATTTTTAAAATAATCAATATTTTTTATTTTTTTAAAGATCTATTATTGGTTTATGGTATACTATTTATAAACGTACATTATAACCACTTATTTATTATATTTTTATTTTACCACAGAATAAAAAGTTAAAAGTTATTTAAAATATATGTAAACAGTCGTACTTTTTAGTAACATTGTTTTTTACTGTTTTAAGCCGGGTCCAGACTTGGTAACATTGTTATATAACTTTGCTATATAACTCTGCTATAAAACTTTTGTTTAAAAACATAGTCGTGTCCACACCTAGGTCAGTCAAGATGGATGCAGAAAACCAACTACTAGCAGCAGCGGCGTGCGTAATTTTGCTTACCAAGAAGAAAAAACCGAGGAAAAAGCGGTTTTGGGTTCGACCTACACTGAGGTCAAGAATTCAATATAGTGGGACTCATTTATTAGAGGATCTTAAACAAGACGATGTCGGCTCTATCGACTACGGAATGAAATACAGGGGAAGCTTTAAAAACTTCTGTAGAATATCCAGTTCGGATTTCGACCAATTGCTAAATTTAATTTCCCAAATTAAGAGCTTTCCCAATTTTATTCCAAGCGTCATGTTTTTTTTGTTTATTTTATACAAAGGGCTAAATGTGTCCCATAGTTCGGAATTTTGTCTATATAATTCAATTGGTTTGCACGTTTGTTCCACGTTCCATTCCATTTTATATCAATAATAATTATATAAATAATTATTATTTATATATTATATTTAGTTTAAATTTGTTTGAACTTTACTCAAGACAAACTGCACAGCACTGATCGGTTGTTGACATAAAATTTAACAAGTGTGGACACGTTTGTAATAGCAGTGCGATATAACTTCTTTTGATCTTACCGACTCTAGATGGATAACATATAGCAAGTAATGTAGCAAGGAATTCTGCTACAATTAGCTTAAATTTTAGTAACATGTTATATAACCTTCCTATGTAGCAGTGTTATATAGCAAGTGTGGACCCGGCTTTACAGAGGCAGTGAAACTGTCCTTTCAAGGAAAAGATCAAGTCCAGGGAAATAACTGACAAAGCCATAGGACAAGCCTGTCAAGATTGGCTCAAATTATCAAAGCAATGATTCAATGATGTTAAAACTTAACATTTGTTTAATTAGTTATTTTAAAATAATAAATAATTATTTATGAAAATATATTCGTTTGTCATCTGCAGATGACATGCTCAGTTTCTTTTTAAACTTTTTTTTTACCTTGGAGTTACTACTACACTTAGGTAAGTTTTTGCAAATATGGAAAGAATATGCCTCACTTAAATTAAATGCAAAGAATAAATATAGTAAATTTTACTGTAATTTTAATTATCAATGCATTGATAACCGTAAAACCATGCATGGTTTTACGATTTAAATTTAATGAAAATGGAATTATTAGAGCTAAAAATACTAAAAAATCATTCAAATGTAAAAACTTTTGTTTTTATTTTCTTTTTCCAGATTAG